AACTTATGGCAATGTCATGGCTAACCCTAAGCTAAGCTAATTTATATTATATTAATTTATTTTGTTTAACCTTTAGCTTTGTTTCAAATATGTGTTACTTTTTTCAAATGTATGAACACATCTTTAATAATGTCATTTATGAACACGTTGAGTTCCTTAGCATCTGCACTTCAGTGTTTACCTGCTTTATAAATGTAGTAACAAATGAGCCTGGAAATTGTTCGAAACCCAGCCTTGAATCTACTGTATATAAAGACCCAGACAAAGACTCTGTGCTGAAAATGATCCAAACCCTGAGAGCATGGATGCTACGACATGCTTGTCTATCACGCTGACACTGCAGCCTACAAACATTGAGTTTTATGAGAAGTGTTTTAGTTGAGAAGCATGCAACCTGTGCAAAAGAAGCAGCGATGCACCTGCATCACCTGAGCATCCTTCTCCTCCTCACCCACCTATCCCCTTCCCGGAGACGTCCCTCGATGTCTCTCCCTTCCCATCACCCCTCACTAAGTCCTTGTTCCCTCATTGACAAGCTGATTTTTTTCATCTTCCCCACTAGATCCGCGCTCTTTTTTTTATACCTCCTTTTTTTCAACCCTACCCCCTCCCACCCCTTTCTCACCTCTCCCCTCCTCATCTCCACCGAGCTTCTCCGCATTAGCAGTCAGCTCCACTCCCAGACATACTTTGTTTTTCAACCATTGTGAAGAACGAGGGAGAGGGGGAGGGAGGGTGGGGGGGGAGGCAGCGAGATACAGAGAATGGGGAAAGTGAGGAAGAGAGAATGAACTGCAAGTAATAGAGAGAGAGAGAGAGAGAGAGCGAGAGAGAGAGAGAGCATCATTTACACAGCCATACAGAGGAGCAAAGCCTGCGCCTCACCACCTCACCACATCTCCTCCTCCTCCTCCTTCTCCTTCTCTTCTTCGCTCAGCCTCTGCTCACGATGCCAAACATTTTATATGTTATTTAGTCATGCCTGACTTTATCGAATTTGAAAAACATGCCAGTCACGGGTGCACCCTCCCCTCCTCGCCCTCCCCACCACCACTTCTATTCTCCGTCTCCATTCTCCACTCCTGCCACCACCTTCATCGCTGCTTCCTCTTGGTCTTTCTCTCAATTGAGGCTCTTAGGCCACTGTGTTTTGGTGGACATTTCAGCTGTAGATCAAATTCTGTTCCCATTTTTCCTTCTGCTTTATGCACACACACACACGCACACACACACTTCCTTTGACCACTCAGCAACCCCAGGGGAAAAGGGAGAAAGAGCAGAGCTCTGGCCAACTGAGTGTTGACTCTAAGATGGGATTATTTCTGCTAGGAATCAGAAGCCTTGTGCTGCTGGATATCATGGCTGTCCAGATTTTGTATTATTATTATTACAGCAGTGTTTGAATGATGGGGGAAAATGCAGAGAAACAAAAGAGTTAACAAAGGCTGAAGGAAATAGCAAACGTCATAATCTAAAAGTTTTATTTTAGCTTAGTTTGTTTTTTGCTCTTACTTAAAATTCTGTTGTAGTTTCAGTAGGTCAGCGAAGGTCATTGATGTAAAGCAGATTAGATTAGAGGCTTTAGTCCCAAATGATCTGCTGAAGCTAAAAATGACACAACATAGTGACTGCTCATGTCGGCAGCAGCAGGCCTGGAATTAACAACACCACACTTAGACCTGGATACGATAGCCATGAAATAAAAACCAACAAATTTAGATTTTTTTTTCCAATTTATATTAAATACTCTTGAACTTTGTTACCCCAGAGAAAATTGGTAAGACAAGGTGAAATAGAAAACCCAGACTGAGGGTGTCATGGCTGCAAATGAAGACACCATCATAAACTCTTATTGTGACTGAGAGTATACTGTTTGTATGGATTTTATGGATTCGTTTTCTACTTAAGATTCTCTGTCCACTTGACTGATGAGTAACGTTTCCTCCTCCAGTTCTGAGCCAGCCCTCGTGCAAATCAAGTCAGTTGGACGTAACAGCCCAGTGATATTTGGATAAGTCCTGGTATTGCACTGCAGCTCACAGATGTATGGAGTGTGAGGCTGGACAGTGCTGACACTACTGAACGTGTTCAGCAGAAACCCTGTAGGTTTAGAAGAAAGAAAGAAAGAAAGAAAAAAAAGGTTTGAAAGGAAGCTCTTTAAGGAAGAATGCCCTGCTAAAATGAGGTCCCTGAGACAGTGAGGGCTGTTCTGCAGATTGGGTCTGTGCAGCTTCTCAACGAGGAACAAAAAGTGCAATATCCAGCTCTGCAGTTAACTGGACAGATTCAAGTTCTTTTTGTTTTACTCCCAAATGAGAGCTGCTCTCTTCTGCTGCTGCAGATCCCTGATCTACATTCTAAATTCTGCTCTAAAGACATTTTTATATTTTCATAGAAAAATACAAATTCATGCATAAATATTTTATCTTTTATGTCCGACTTACTTTTATTTCTCGTGTCAGCAGTGTCTAAACTTTTTTAATGGGGCACATCCTTCTCCTATTCATTTGTAATTTTGTAATGTTATTGTAGTAAACTACAATAGAAAACTGTAGTGTGCATTTTACTAATCATTGAAGTAACTAAATGCACACAGTATTTTGTTTTTTTTTTTATGAATGACCTTTTCTCTATTAAGACAGATGCCAAAAGAAAAAGTTAGTAATCCTTTGGTTTACCAACAATGACAGCACCTCTACGGTAGTAAGATTTAGGAATGTTTAAATATAAATTCACAGCTAACATGCCAGATAAAGCATCTAAAATTAGCAAAGGAAAACAAATGAGTAGGTGTGGGGTTATATTACAAAACAAGATGGATAAAACCAATGGTTAGTCTGCATGTCTGTAAAATTAAATTTTTGCCAAAATGTATATGAACTAATGTAATACTGTGATATGATTAAAAACAACAAACAACATTTACGGTTGTAAGCCAATATTAGCCAAAATATTTAAAGTACATAAAAACACCATAGTTAGCCAAACGCTAACACTAAACAGACTAGTTAAAAACAAAACATTGTAATACATGGTAATAAAAATGCAGCATTAAACCAAATCCCCTTAAAACACATATTATAGTCGTAAAAAAAGCCCTAGTATAAAAGTCTTTGGTGAATCTTTTAGTTCTCTGTGAGTAGCTGTAGTAAACACAAAAAAACATGATGCTGTTAAAGAGGATTTAACAAGATATGGTGAAGTGATGTATTCTAATGTTGGCAGGATGGTTAGTTCCGTTATTATTTCATTATTAGAGGTTAAAAGCTGAAGATTTTATTTTGTCATATTTGGATTGTTCTCCATAATATCACCAGAAATGTGGTTACTGCCAGGCCATCACAGGTCACCCATAATTCACCAGGGGACGTAAGCATTTTTTTTTTCTCTCTCTCTCTCCCTCTCTGTCTCTGGATCGTCCATCCTTCTCCTTAAAGCCTGTAAAGGCAGAAGAGATGGAAAGTAGACAAAGCCTGGGGGCTATAAACCACCGAAGACAATTCCTCCCTCCCTCACTCCTCCTGCTCTCCCTCCCTCCCTTCCTCCTCCTCCTTTAGTTTTCATCATGCACACACTCTTCTACCCCTGTCTCTTTAGGCTTCTTCTTCTGCAGAAAGTTTGTTCTGCAGAAGTTGTCCATCTGTATAATTCATTTAAGAGTCTCTAAAACTCAGCTGTGTAAATGTATTATTCTGAAAAGGAGAGGAGAAAAAAAACGAGGTTTTTGGTTCATGTGCACACTGTTGAAAACAAAACGTTTAGAGTGTGTGCTGCGTTATATCTGTGGAGGCTTCAAATTCACAACGCTATGAGTCGTTCAAAGCAAATCTTTAATCTTCTAATGCGTTGAGAGAAGTGTGTTTACCTTCTGCACTGGAGGAAATTATTTGACACTTGTTTTGTGGAAAATCTGACTCAGATTCAGAGTTTCTGTTCATTCTTGGAAGATAAATGAGTCAGTCGTTTGGTCCAGATTTGAATGATAATTTACAGATAAATCTAATCATTCTCGTGCTCATTTATTTCGAATTAACTTACTACAAATTGGGAAAAGCATCACCTAGATGGTCAATAACATTAATTGTTCTTGATTATTTTTTGTTTTTACTGAGCCACGGTTTAGGTAGAAAAATAATTAACACTCACTAAATATTTAGTTAAACCGACGCTTACAGAGGGTTCAGCCGGGGCCAAAGCTGAGACTCTTTTATTGGCAGAGTAACACACAAGCTGCTGTAATGAGTGCAGAGGATCGAGGCGAATCAATAGACAGCAGACCTAACACTCCTCCCAGTGTGTTCAGTGTGAGAGATTCCAATGATGGAAAAGTCAGACCGGAAAACAAAAGGGATTTTCTCTGAAAAACCTAATCAGCGCCAACCACTCTCTTCTACTGAGGGGCTCTTGATTGCCATTAGGATATTTATTACAAACAAATTTATTCCTGAGTATTTTTTAAAAGTAGCCATCTTAAGTCAAACAACCAAGCAGTTGTTGGGAAACTTAAAGTTGGTCTTGAAATTTTTAAACATATGAGAAAAATGAGAAAACAAAACAAAACCCATTGTAAATAAAGTTGTAAAAATGTTTCCAATACAAAAGCCTCACCAAAAATATCAAGAAACAAGTGAAATTAGTCAAAAATTATCTAAGATTTTTAAAATGAATATTTAGGGTTAGAAAAGTGATGCAAAACTGGACTATCGAAAAAAAAATTATATAGGGAGAGAGAGAGAGAGAGCAACATTTTCTAAAATGTGAATGCACCATCAGAGTTGATGATAAACAACACGTAAACCGCTAACGTTTCCAGTGTTTTGTTCACCACATGTTACACAGTAAATTGCTGCAGTATTATTACTATCATCAATACCAGATGCAACAGCATCTGGTACGAATTAATGGCCGTACTTTGATGTTATTATTTTTATTTTTCGCCCTTGTTTTTTTGTCCTCCTCACATTCATCCCGTCTGCTCTGCCTCTCTTGTCTCCGTGCAGCGATCGGCCGGACGTTGATCCCACGTTATTTCAGCACGGTGTTCGAGGGCGGGGTCAGCGAGCTCCACTACATCCTCAAACACTCCAAGGAATCCTTCCACAATTCCTGCATCACCCTGGACTGTGATCAGTGCACCATGGTCACGCAGCACGGGAAGCCCATGTTTACAAAGGTAACAGCTGACCCCCGAGCTTCTCCCACCATGAATAATTGATCATGAGCTATGATAATGGAGCGGAGCAGGTGTTTAACTGGTTCAAGATCAAATCCATTCCTAACCTTTGGATTCTTTTCCTTTTGTTCCTTTAAGTGCTGGAGGTTTAGGTCATAGCTGGTGGCGTATACATATATATGTATAGAAAAATATATGTTTTGGATTATATTTAATGCATTTTTATTATTCTTTCTTGTTATTATTTTTATTAATATTATTTTTTCTTTCTTGCCAAGTTTATTAAAAATTTAAAAATTCCCATGATACTCAAGGCAATAGCAATCAAAATACAAATTAGTCAACTTAGCTATAGACAAATTAACAAATTCATGTAGCACTTAGCAAAACCTTTTGTTCATCAGTAAGGATTTAAACAAAAATAGCAAAATAACCAGTAGTGAGCCCAGAAGGGAGCTCCTATGGAGACAAGTTTTCATTAAAAACTAAAAGAAAACTGACAAAAATTGCTGCTACATCTATTCAAAATTGCATTTCTATATTTTATTATTATTCCAATAAGTTTAATTCATTAAATTATTTAAATAACTAATAAAAACTGAAAAAAAAATTAAATGGCCTTTATAAACTGATGAGTGTACTATGATTTACCCACAACCCACACTTTGGTTATACTATACATGCAGTAACTGTTGGGTTGCTTGTTTTTTTTTTCTTCTAGATTTAAATGTTGTTGTTGTAGGTTATGTGAGGAATAAAAAAGAATTAAGCGACTTTATTGGACAAGAAGACAACCGCTCTACAGATACAAACCAGAACGTCCTGCAGATTTACTATTGTCCTCTTAGACCTGAGAATCCAGTGGCGTTTGCAAAGTTAAGGCAGGGGACTGACTCTACAGCCCTTGGATAGTGAAGGACAGGGACATGAGTAAGATCTTTGGATAGCATGATCCTGTTTGCGCAGACAGATGGCAGCGGGAGAAAGCCGAGGAAACACAAATTGCTCAGGTGAGATAATCCACACCTGACAGCGAGGTCCTGTGGAAGCTGAGTTCATCTGCTTTTGACTTTAGGGAGTGAATCCCCCTGAGAGCTGGGGCGAATATCTGCTTCACTACAGTCTGATCCAGATGCTGAGCTGACTCCCAGTGTTCTTCTGCTGACGCTTTAAATGAACCTGAGCCTAGATACCTTGTCAGTGCTGAGCAAACCAGCTGAAGGGATTCCATGTTTCTGGTCTCGTGAACCCTGAGCTGCAGCATCAGGCCAGATTATCCTAACATTAAACAGCACTTTTATTTTTTGTTATCACTTAACTGTGTACACCCACTCTACTTACTTTTAAACTAACATTTCACCAAGCCGTCAGTGGGCTGGAGTAGCAAAAATTAATTAAATCACTTTTAAGATCTCAACTTTCAAAAATGGGCCTTATCATTACGTTGTGTCATAAAATAAAAACATTATCAGCTTCAAAATTAATTTCAGAAGTCCTGCTGTTTTTGTAGTTGGGAAAGATGAGATGAAAAGGTATCATGTGATGTGACAAATTAATTTCCAAACATCCTGGCCTTTATTTTGCTCCAATTTAGTCATAAAAATTAATTTGACTCAGACACTAAACATTTTGAAATAAATGTGGGAGGAGCATTGATTTAAAAATAATGATGTTTTTCCTCATTCCTATTATTGAAGAAATTGTATTCATCAGAAGCAATGCTGAAATAATTTTGAAAATTAAAAAAAATTTACTCAGAAACAACTTTACAGACAGGAAAAACTTTAGGGTAACAAATCAATGCTTAGGTCATATTCAGTTAGCCTGTTTGGAACCAGAAAGTATCAGTTACCATATCAGCAGTATTTAAAGTTTTTCTGGCCCAGAACCCAAAACCAACCAAAAATAACTGCCTACTACTTTTGGTCTTGGACTCTCTTGGGGTTGTAGACTTCATCTTGAAGACCCTAGCTTTAAATCCTCGTCATTTAAAATGTTTGGCCACTAAACAGTATGAGTGAAAAACCTTTCATTGAGGTTCATATTTATTCCACTAGTCTTTGTGTTTCTGTTTGGCCTCAAACAGCTGCTCTGTCAGTCGTTAGCACTGGGTTTTTGTCAATCAGTCAAAAGTCAAATGAGCAACATCTGGTTTGGTGATTGATGATGTCAGAGATCATAATGTGTTTCTGTATTTTGGTGTTTAACTTCTGGTTGTGGATTTCCTCCTTTGTTCACTGTTTTTTTTTAGAATAGGGTCATATTCTTTCGAATTCCTCAAACAATGCATTTGGAAAAGGGCGATGTGGTGGTAGAGTGGTTAGTGCTAATGCCTTACAGTAAGAAAATCACTGGTTAGATCGCCAGTGGTAGCAAATGGTCTTTCTAATTGGAGTCTGATTTTTTTTTTTTTTTTTACCCTCACAGGGGGTAAAAATAGCCAACCGTGACACAGTCCTCACCCAGACCCTAACTGTTGCTATCGATAGTCCGTAATCATTAAGTAGTAGAAGAAGAATGAAGGATTTCTAAAGGTTGTATTAATGTGTCTCTGTTTTTGTAAATATTCGTTCTGTATATAATGTATGTATCAAACCAACAGTACCAACGTGTCTTTGGAAACAGATAGCAGGTTCCTGTGCTGCTGAGGGTTTCATTGTTTGTATTAACAGGTCGGTTCATTCTTATCATGGTATTGATAATAAGCATGAAACATTCAGGATGCACAGGAAATGGCTATTGCTGTTGTGGATGTGTTAAAAAAAATCACTTCTGAAAAAACATGATCAATTACAAATGTCTGACATTAACTGAGCACAAACAGAAACAGTCAACAGCCCGGTCAACAAAAAGCTAAATTTGATGCTCGCAGCATGGCTCTCTCCTTTCATCTTCACCTAAATTGGATGAGAAGAATTAATTCATTAGAAAAAAAAAGGAATGAAAAAAAAATTCCAATAACGGAGCGTGTTCTCCCTGAGCTGCGAGCAGCAGCCGTGAGCCTGCAGCTCTGGAGGCCCCGAATCTCAATCAGCTCTGCCTCGCCTCGCTTTCCTCAAACACCACCACCACCACCACCACTCTCCTCATCCTCCCCCCATCCCCCTCCTCCACCACCATCACCTCCTCCTCCTGCTGCCTGACTCACTCATTCTCCTCTCCCTCTTTATTCCACCGCTCTCTCTCATCCTCCTCCCCTCTCCTCCATCTCCCTTCACCCTGCACCCTTAGTGCACACACACACACACACACACGCACACACTCTCGCATGCTTCATCCCTGGAGAAATCATCCCCAGCTCCCAACTCGTGCTCTTGCTCTTCCACTTTCTCTTTCTCCCTCTCTCTCTCTCGCTTTATTTTTTTTTCCTTTTTTTAAACTTCTAATTGTAATTTTACCTTTTGGATTGAATACATTTAACCAATTATTTTATTTTATTATGAGTGAGGTCCTTTGTTTTTCACATCCATTTCAGACCGTCTCCTTCAGTAATAATAATTCTGAGTTAACCAGGATATTTTTACTTAATAGAAGCTACAAATGTGGAGTGACAGAACAAAAAAGTGCAGCAGCTGGAGAATATTCTCGTTACATTAAGTTTGTTTTGCTTTATTGTATTATATTAAATATTGCATTATTAGATTTGATATGATTACATTATTTACTGTGAAATAATCAATGACTTAAAATAGGTCCCAAATAAAAAATTGAATTTTAACGGAATTGTTTTGTAACAGTACAGAGGTAAATATCTGTATTTAAAGTCTCCCTCTGTTACCCGAGCAGAAGCGGGAGGGAGTGAGTGGGGGGGGGGGGGGTGTCTGTTAAATGTGTTTATGGTCAGAATTACTGGTGTTTGCTGTTTTTTTTTATTACAAAATCAAAGCAGTAATATCATGTTTAACATCTTTATACAAATCACAGTGAAATAAACTCAATTTTATTGATGGAAATCCAAAAGATCAGAAGACTTCACGGGAGGATATAGGTGGAGTTCGTTTGAGCACTGAAATAAAATATATGTATAGCTGTATACACTATTGAACCAAATGACCAATGGTAAAACTGAATAATGACAATTAAAAGTATGAGAATTAAAAAAATGATAACAATGTAATTAATTTTAATATTTATAGAGGAAACAAATGTTTCACTGAAATTTCATTCAGACAAAGAACTTTTAGAATTTTATTCTTGAAATACAATTAAAATACCAGACCGTCAGAAATATTTTCACCACTTCAAAAAGTAAACAAAAGGAAAGGCAGCGACAGAGGGCAGCATCACTCCAACCAAACCATAATCTTGCATTGATCAATTAATAAGCACTGAGGGATACTTTTGTCTGATTTTATTAATTATTAAAATAATAAAACAGGCAGTACACATTTTGAACACATAAAAACGACCAGAACAGCCGTTTTAAATAATTATTGTCTTCTGCTGGTTGCTGACTGCGCTGGACCTGAGAGTTTCTGTCTCTCATTGCTGGGCTGCTGCTGCTCCCTAACAAACAGGTGGAGGTTCAGCCGGCTGCTGAGAGTGGGTGGTGTTCTCCAGGTGCTGCCGCTGCACAGACAATGTGTAAGGTTTCACACAAGCCGCTGAGGTGTTGACAAGGTGACACTGGGTGGCCAATTTGACCACCAGCGCCCCCCCCTCCCCCCCTCCCCCCATGTACCAGCACTTCTGTTCACTACCCAGCATGCCTTTCTGTTTTGTTCTTCTTAATTCCTGACCAGTGTGTTGGCTCACAGGGCTTGGCCCTTGTTACCGGTGTTCAGTTGGGGGAAGGTTTCACACACAGAGAAGACAGCAAAGAGTTAATATATTTCCAGGAACATATGTTAACTTTCTTTTTTTATATCAGTTTTTTTTTCGAGACTTTGCACTAATTATAGTCAACGTTTTCTTCCCATGCATGGTACATTACATAGTCCTTAAAGCAAGTGTGTCCAATGTCTGGGTCTCAGCCCTATTGTGGCACTTGGGTGTGCTTT